TGATTAATGTTGCTTGCATGTTTGTGACACAGCCTTCAACAGTGGGAATGTCAAGATAACCCTGCTTAGCACTTGTTAGCTGGCTGAAGCCGGGAACCCTAGTGTGACCCATTGACGTCACAGGAACACAGCAGAGCTCATAGGTGCAGTGACTTTATCAAGGTCACTCAATGATGCTGAAAAATCACAGAAACTAGAATCAAAATCCTCATTTCTTGGTTTTCACTTACATTTTCCAACTCACCAAAAGCAACTGACATAAAATGCACATAACAAAATTTACTGGTGGATCATTCTTTTTTTCTTTCTCTCTCTCGGTGTGGGGTGTGTGCATATTTTCATGTAGATATGTGCACATTTGTGCGCATTCATGTAAAGGCTACAGGTCAATGGTAGGAGTTTTGGCTCTCATTCTCCACCTTATTTTTTGAGACAGGGTCTCTCACTGAACCTGGAGCTTATTAATTCAGCTGGACTGGCTGGCCAGTGAGCTCCAGCGATCTGCTGTCTCTGCACCTCCTTCTTAACCCCGTGTTCCCCACCACCACCACCCAGTGCTGGGGTTACAGGCATGCACCGCCATGCTCAGCTTTTTCTGCAGTTCTTAGGAATCAAGTTTGGGTTCTCATCCTTGTGTGGCAGGCACTTACTGACTGAGCCACAGTGTGTGCACCACCACACCCAGCAAGTTTAATCATTTTTAAAGTATGAAGTTCACCTTGTTGTGAAAACATCACCATCATCCAACTGCCGAATTTTTTATCTTAAAAAACAGAAATTCCATTCTCATTAAATGCTAACTCTTCATTACCTCCTCATCCCCAGGCCCTGGCAAGTACCATTCTACTCTGGTCTCTGAAGAACTTGACTTCTCTAGGGACTTCATATTGTGGGATCCTGCAGTACTTATCCTTTTGTATCTTATTTATTTTCCTGCACGAAGTCCCCCAAATACAGCCTGTTCGCATTCTCTGCCATGTTAATGCTGAACAATATCCCATTTGCAGTGGTGCATCAGTAAGACACTTCCAAGGCTTGCGGGAATTCTTTTCCTAGACGCATTTCCAAAAATATCCACTAGGGGGGAGTAAAAGACGCAGAAATGTTCAATAGGCCTTGCAAGTGTCAAGCAACCTGGCCCAGCATCCTCTGTGTATCTCTCTCAGCCATCCATGTATACAGTTACAAGATAATGGATTTCACATTCAACAGCAGCCTTGGATAAACTAGAGATACCATCAGCTGTAGCTTAAGTGCAGGTCTTCCTCACACGCTGGCTAACCCAAGGCACAGAACTTCATTTCAGATAGTGGTTTCAGATCGTATTCTGACTTAATTCACTTTAGTTCAGTGGTTCTCTGATAGTGTACATGTCAGAATCACCTGGGTGCTTTTTCCAAAACACACATATCCAGATCTCAGCTGAACTCTATTGTCAGAATGTCTGGGGCCCAGGCATAGACACTGTATTTTGATCGTGGCCCATGACTTCTTGTTAAGAACTAGTGTATTCACTCTTTAACTGGAGGAAAGGGGTGTCTCTTGAGAAAAACCTCAGAGGACAGAGGATATGAATTCTGAAAAATCTTTTCTTCTTGCTAAAAATGTGGCTGGCAGGGGCTGGTGTTTATGGGAACCTTATTCTGAGCAAAGAGGGGGCTTCTTATAGACAGCACTTTGTGTGTGTGTGTGTGTGTGTGTGTGTGTGTGTGTGTATAGATAGCAGCCAGAGGTCAATATCAGATATTTTCCTCAATTGCTGACAACCTTTTGTGTGTGTGAGAGACAGTATCTCTCACTGAACTTCACCAATTGAACTAGACTGTTTGGCCAGCGAGCCCCAGGGGTCCTCATGCCTCTGCCTCACCAGTGCTGGGATTACAGGCTTTTACCACTGTGCCCAGCTTTTTTATGTGGGTGCTGGGGATCAAAATCACATCCTTATGCTTGTATGGCAGGTATTTTAATGACTGAACCACAGCCCAGCACTTGCATTTTAACACACTAAGAACTCAGACATAAAATTCAAAACCAGGGCAGTCCTGGGCAGCTTCAGGATCTAACGATGTAGTTCTAATACAGTAATGCTTAGGAACCAAACTTTAGTATATGGTCATAGCTCAGATACCGATAATGTCTGAGATATTATGAGAGTTTCTCCTACCATAATCAGAAAAGGAAGTCCTTTATATGATCAAAATGGCTCAGTGAACCTGAGATGGGATCAAGAGACCCAGGTCCTCATCCTAACTGCCCCATTAGCTAGTTATGGGACCCAAGGCAAGTCTTGTCACCTCTTCAAGTTTCGGCCTCCCCTTTGAGTTATGAGAAGATTGGATGATGTTGATCTCCAAGGATCCTTTCAGTTCTGAAAATGTGATGGTTCTATTAGTATTAATAATCTTGATTTGTAGTTACTACTCTGGCAAAGAGCAGAAGAAATATTCAGCAATGTAATGAATGACAGAGACTATTGACCATGTAGTTTAACTTATTTAAGGCACATACACCAAATTCAAAGGAGAAACTATTGCTCCTGATAATATATTGAACCGTTAGTATCATTGGGCTAGCCAAGGCTTTTCAGAGAAACTACCCATCAGTGCACACTTGACATTTCTCCAGCAGGCTCATATTTACAGTAAAGGCCACGCATGTGGATGCCCTGGATGAATATTAAATAACTACATAAACATCAAGGTCACAGTAGCAAGAAAGGCTCTGTGGAGGGCCCTGGGAGGCCCACATTGATTTCCTGTGAAGTTCCATTCTCCAGTCCTGCTGACAAGGGGGAAACAATTGATGTGGCCCATTATTAAGGCTTTAAGTGTTTCTCCATTGTTAAAGATCTTTTACAAGCCCGGAATAACCGATAGCGCCCAAGGAATCGGCAAAAGCTTCACTTAGACATATAGGCTGGTCAAAGAGATAAGTACACTCTGCAGTGCAGATGGCCTGGGTCAGGCTTACACAGCAAAGGTGGAGACTGAGGGGAGTCGGGCATCAGGGCACATCACCAACTCAGCCTGCGGGGTGCTGCTCTCGGGGATTGCTTAGAAAGCTTCAGAGAGCAGGGCTTCGTCTTAGCCTTCACACATCCTCCTAACATTCCAGTCCTTCCGCTCTCAGCTACCAGTACCTCATAGCTGTCTGCATGTCTCAGGCCCTGTTCTGTTATCTTAACTGAGTCCCTGAGCAAGACTGGTTTATAAAGAAAAGAAATGTATTTCTTTGGGTTTCAGAAAGTGGGGAAGTCCAATGTCATGATGCTGGCAGCTGGAGAGGGGCCTTCTTGATGCGTCAGCAAATGCGCTGGAGTGGGCGCGTGCGTGGGGGAGGGGGCGTGTTGGTCTTTCTTCTTTTTCTTTCTTTCTTTTTTTTTTTTTTTGGCTTTTTGAGTCAGGGTCTCCCTGTAGCCCCAGCTGCTCTGGAACTCACTATGTAGACCAGATTGGACTTGAACTCACAGAAATTCACCTGCCTCTGCCTCTGCTGGGATTTAAGGTGTGCACCACCACACCTGGCCACTTCTTTTTCTTATGAATCCATTAATGCTATATGGTTCCACCCTCATGGCCTTGTCTAACCTTATCTCAAGTCTCCATCTTGAAATACCATTGACATGTGAATATGGGGATTAAGTTTCCAGCACAAAAACTTTGGGGGGAACACCCCCAAACCACAGCACTGGGGCAATCAACCAGGATCCTTTGAATTATACACAAGCACAGATCCAGAGCTGAACTGATCTAAGACCCGGATAATCATGGGAGTATGCTGTTGACCTGGATCTGGGGAAGAGCAATTACTGCATATGATAGAACTTAGTTCCCAGAAAGTCTAAACAGACCAAAGGATCGACCAAATCTGCCAGACACACATAATAACCATGAAAACAATAAACCTGTTTCTCAAGCAGTATCTGTGTTTGGTACCGTGCTTGGTGTTTATACATTTCAGTTTGCTGCATTTTACAGTGGCCCATCGAGGGTTGAAAGGGATATGGAGGAAGGTACAGGGCTTTGGAGTCATTGATTAGTCTAGGACTCAGTCCCAATTCTGTCCCCCAATTATCTGGAAAGTTACTATATTAGTAGCTTGGATTTGGGTTGCCAGTAACCTGTCAGTGTCTGTGTTCTTAGCCTGTTGTGTTTTTTGTCTCATGTAATCCTCAGACCAGTCTTATTCTTGGAGCTGAAAATGTAGCTCAGTTGGTAAAGCACTTATCTAGCACTCTTGGTCTCCAGTATTCTATAAACTAGGTGTGTGTGTGCTTAACTATAACCCCAGCACTCCAGAGGTAGAGCTAGGAGGATCAGGAGTTCAAAATCATCCTCAGCTACATAGCTGTTCAAAGCCAGCCTGGGCAAGAGACCCTACCCCCAAACAAACAAAATCCAAAAAGAAAAAGAATGATCTCAGTCCTATTTAATTGGTATGGAAGGTACAGAGAGGTCACATGCCAAGGTCACACTGTGAAGGACAGTGCCAGGGCTTGAAGCCAGGCAGGATGACTCCTACCTCCCCCACACAGCAACAGTAGCACCTCTCTGTTGCCTGTACTGTATGTAACAAGGGAACAGCCATGTTTTCCAGGAGGGTTCAATGAAGTAACTTGCATAAAGTGCCTAACACAGTACCTGGAACATCACAGGTATACACAGATGATTCTACATCACCATAATTGTTGCTAATTACATGAGATGTTTAAGAGTACAAGGAAGAACTGGCAAAATGACTTGAACTCAGGTCTTGTGACTGCCATTTTGATCCATGTCCACCTCCCTCTGGAGCACAGAGTTGAAGACAATTCACATGTCACTGTCTCAGTAACCGCCCCCCCCCAGTGTCATCTGCTCAGTGAGTGCTTGGGATGGGGGAACATTTTGTTACTCATCCATCAAATGTGTACCAAGGTGCTGCTGTGGTGGGTTTCCAGAGAGGAAGAGGCTATAATGCTAACCATTCTTTTCTTCCCTCCCTTCTTCCTTCCCTCCCAGGTCCAAATGGTGAAAGATGGTGACCCCTCCTGGAAGCCCACTTTTATTGTGAAACCAGATGGTGGTTGTCAGGGTGATGGAATCTACCTCATTAAAGATCCCAGTGACATCCGCCTGACTGGGACCCTCCACAGCAGGCCAGCAGTTGTCCAGGAATACATCAGCAAACCTCTCCTTATTGACAAGCTCAAGTTTGATATTCGTCTTTATGTCTTGCTAAAGTCCTTAGACCCCTTAGAGATTTATATAGCCAAAGATGGACTCTCTAGATTTTGTACAGAGCCATATCAAGAGCCCAGTTCCCAAAACCTGCACCATGTCTTTATGCACTTGACCAACTACTCTCTGAACATCCACAGTGGCAAATTCATCCACTCGGACAGTGCCAACACAGGCAGCAAAAGGACATTTTCTAGCATTCTTTGTAGACTGTCTTCCAAAGGTGTGGACATCAAGAAGGTCTGGTCCGATATCATATCCTTGGTGATTAAGACCGTCATCGCCCTGACCCCAGAGCTCAAAGTTTTCTACCAGTCAGACATCCCTACAGGGAGGCCGGGTCCCACCTGCTTCCAGGTAACCATGCCAGCTCCCACCTCAACTTCCTAGCCTTGACCAGGCCTAGGGAGGACGTTTGATTTGTGATGGGATGAAGGATGGAGTGGGATGGCCAAAGGTGGGGTTAGGGTGGTGGCTGTTGTGGCCTCTGTGCTAAACCTGGGCCAGATTTCCAACTTTGTCTTGTCTTTCCTAGCTATATGGTTCGGGGAAAGTTGCTTCCCTTCTTTTAACTGTAAAATGAGGCTAATCTTTCCTACCATAAAAGATTCTTCCGAGAGCGCAATGAGGTAATATGTCATTTATACATTCACTCTTCCCCTCGATTTTACCTCATGCTCAGGCATTGTTCTAGGTGGCCCCTGCCCAGTTCTAGGAGTCCATAGTGGGAGAAGCTTTGAACAAGCAATTGTTAGAGTTTTAACACATAGGAACCACACAGGAAATGTACCAGGTGCTTTGGACTTGTGGAACCATCTCACATTCTCTACACGGGTCAGGGAAGCTGCCCAACAGAAATGGCAGTTACACTGGAAGCCAAGGTGAGAGATGAAGCAGGGGAAAGGCTGGATAGGAGCAGCCACGGAATGCTCTGGGTGGAGACACGGTTTTACTTTAGAGGTAAGAAAGAAGCCTGGTGTGTTTGAGTCACCAAAGGAAGTTCAGTATAGTTAGGGCGGATTTGGTGCAGAGGTATAGAGAGAGATGAGAGAAGATGAGGTGAGAGAAGTAGGTAGAGCCGAGTTTCGGAGAGCCTGTGGACAATGGGGACCATCGGAGGATTGTAAGCAGGGTGCAGATCACACTCAGAGCCACATGTTCCCAAGAGCACAGTTCCATGGTTGGAGGGGATTGGACTGAGCCAAGACTGGTCACAAAGAGATTTCTAGAAGAAATTCAGAGCCAGAGGATGCTGGCTCTGAATAAGAAGGTCTTCATAGGCATGAAGCACATAAGTAGATCTGAGTCCCATTTAAGGAGTTCAGATGGCTAGACTTGTTGACTGGGTGGGGCTGGGGAGAGAGAAGAGACGGTGGCAGAGAAAAAGGAGGAGCTAGTGGAGATACAGGTGACTTGGGCACTTGGATGAAGAGAGGCCACTAGCAGAGGACCCAGGCTAACAGAGACCAGAAACTAGGCAGCCAAGTGGAGAGGCCTAGTAGAGTGGATATTGGGTTGGAGTCTAGGGAGACGGGGTGGACTGGAAAAGGACCTAGGAACATCCATATTGGTGACTTGGAGGCATGAGATGATGTGGAGAGGACCCTGTGACACCTCCACTTCACTAAAGGATGGACAGAAACTGAGAACCAGTGAAAGAGACTGGGAAGTGGCATTTGAGACACAGAAGTGGCATCAAGGGTGAACATGTTTGAAATGCCAAGGAAAGGGTTCTCAGAGAAGACACAGACAGGGGCCTGTGGCCTCAAATATTGCCAGGATGTCAGGCAAGACCATCCCTGGAATGGTCCATCATGTTCAGTGACAGGTGTCCTGGGGACTCCAGAGAGAATCATCCTCAGCAAGCAGCCAGCTTGTGAGGGGGAGGGAAATGGAGAATGAGGTAAAAACATCTTTGGGGACACTGAGCTGTCAGGGGGTGAAACATGGAGGCCAGACATTCAGTGGGTGCATTCTCTCCTGCCACCAGATCTATTAGAAGGGGCAAGAGAATGAGATGGTACCTCTCTGGGCTCCCCTCCATCCAATCCTTAAAACTTTTTATAGCAGCTCTGTGTGTGTGTGTGTGTGTGTAAGAATACATGCATGGAACATGTTTGTAATGGTCACACCTGACCTACCTCCCAACTCAAGATCGCCAATTAGTATGTTCCTCCCCTTCCATTCCCCAGTCCATGCCCTACATAACCAGTATCCTGAATGTTACATTTATCATCTCCTTGCATTTCAAAACTACCTATTTCTAAGCATTGATGCACCCCTAAACAGTATACTGCCGTTTGAATGGCTTCTGAGCTTTATAAAAGCCCCAGTGTAAAGTCTGCAGTCTCCTGGAGTGCTCTTGTTTCTCCACAGGTGGTGTTTCAAAGAGTTGCCCACATTGCTTGGGTCAGTGTTACGGCCTTATCAGCACTGCTGTGTATGCCATTTAAAAAAGTTTATTCTTTTTATTGTTTTTATGTGTATGTGTGTATTGCCAGCATGTATATAAGTACAACCGTGTTGTGCAATGCCTACAGAGGTCAGAAGAGGGTGTTGGATCCCCTGGAACTGGAGTTACAGACAGTGGTTGTTAGTCACCATGTGGATGCTGGAAACTGAACCCAAGCCCTCTGCAAGAGCAACCAGTGCTTTTAATCACTGAGCCATCTCTCCAGACCCTGTGTATTCCATTGTAAAATGCATAGTTTATTAGTTCTTCTGTCAAAGCAGGTCTGGGTGTTCCCTGGCTGTGGTAGGAAGATAACAGGCAGCATGGAGCAGGAATGAAGAGAGGGAGTGGGACAGTGTCTCTCACAGATGGGCATCCACCCACTGGTGGAGAAGGAAGCTGGGCCCCAAGGGCAGCCCCTAATCCAGAGAGGCTGCTCAAGGGCTGGGCTTCATCAGTAGGGTCATTGTGGAAGCCCCTGGAGGGGAGTTCAGGCAGTGGTCAGATGCAGGAAGTGGTCATTGTCATCCACAGTTCCACCCGTGGCCATTCGGTTCCCAGTCAGGATGCCCTACTGAGCCATGAGGAGGTAGTTAAAGACCTTAGAAAGGGCAAGTGCAAACAAGTCTTGACCCAGGCAAATAAAGGCAGAGGAGACAGTTGTGACATGGTCACATCCAGGGCTCATCCTGGGGGACTGTGTGGTTATGCTGTTTGTAGTGACAGCTATTCTAGGAGGATCACATGGGGCCAGGCAAGCATGGCCAAGCCACAGAGCCCTGGCTTTGTCCGAGTGACAGCAGGGAGGGCCGGAAGGGCCAGGATGGGCATTGTGCTATGTGTCCTGTAGTAAACAGGCAGCAATGGGCAGCTGTCAGGGTGGGAATAGGGCCACTGGTGGGGAACTGAAGATACCGAGCAGGAGCCTCTGGTCTGGTCAGGTCCGGTCACATCTAGCAGATAGGCCTAAAGCCTTATGACCATTTGCCACCCCTTGAACCACACTAAACAAATGCTTCCAGACCTGGCGTGAGGAGACAAACACAGGCTGGGAGTATAGCCTTTTCCAGCTGGGTGAGCTCCGGGGTCTTCCTCACCACCAGGTGCCTCTGCTCTCTTGGGAAGTCATGTAGGTGAAAGCATTTTAACAAGCTGTAAACTGGTAGCTGTTTGGAATCTGTTTCCCATGCTCTCTAGACATACAGTGATTGAGAGGAAATGGCTTCCTACTTTCCCTGGATCTCCTGCTCTCTTAATTTGAATTCTTTTTAGAATTCTTACTAGTTGGATTTCAGATACCTAAGCTGACTTGGAACACAAAGAGCTGGGGCCACGATATAGTTCTGACATCCATCTACTGTCTGATCTGTGGAGTCACTCTGTTTCCTCATCTGCCTCACGGGGTTGGTGTCCAGTACAAGTGAGATAAGGGTTATCAAGAGCTTTACAGACTGTTAACATTGCACAAATGCAGAAAGTTTTAGTCAGGCATGGTGGCACACACCTTTAACCCCAGCTCTCAGGAGGCAGAGGCAGGTGGATCTCTGTGAGATTGAGGCCAGCCTGGTCTACATAACAAGTTCCAGGCCAGCTGCTGGGGCTGCAGGGAGACCCTGTTTCAAAAAAACAAAAACAAGCAAATAAGAAAATTATTTTTTTTTTTGCTGGGCAGCCCCTCTTCCTTAGAACCGGGTTCTGGCCCAGATGGCAGCATTGCTGAACATAAACTCTAACCAACCAAATTACATCCATTTGAGGCATGTGACTGTGACCCTGTCCCAGCCACCACCACAGTAACAGCTCAGGAGACGTGGTGGCCAAGCAGCGGCTGGTATGGCCCACTTGTGGTTGGGTTTCCTGTAATCTGCTGCTAAGGAACACAGCTGTCCTGTCATTCCAGTCTGTCCTCTGTCATTGCCCAGGCAGCCCCAGCCACAGAACTTCACGTCTGCTTTTCTTGAGGACAACAGTGTGACCCCAGCTTAAACAGCAAGGTCAGCCTGGGTGTAGACGATTCATGTGGTGGAAATATACATGAGGAGGAAGGGTTTCCGCTCAGCCTTCAAGAACATTCTTTCTCACTCTGTGACTTGGTCTATATCTTTCTCTTGTTCCCTGTGTCTAACTCTGTTCTCGGTCATGACCTTTCTCTTGGATGTCAGGAGAGATGTCTTTCCTGAGTCCTAGCATGGTTCTCTTCCTCCCATGTTTTCTGTGTCCTCCTCACCCTGTAATCAAGACACTCCACAGAGAGGAGGCCAGGAAACAGTGTGGTGGGCAAGGGCTTGGCTTCTATTCTCCAGTGCCCTGGGTTTGAGCTACTCCAGCTCCGCCTCACAGCAACTCTAGCTCTGAGCTTGGAAAGCTAATCTTCCTAGGCCTCAGTTTTCTTATCTACAAATGCAAGCATATTTGTAGATACTGTCCAGAGCTGTTGTATGCTTCATTAAGAGAGAGCGCTACGGAACAGCACAGTCCCTAGCATACAGCAGTCATTCAGTAAATGACAGTTTGGGTCATTATTATACTATTTTCTTTAACAACAGTTCTTACACTTATTTATGAGGAAGTACCTCAAGTTCCAGTAAATGAGGAACTGTTCTCGCTATAACCTTAACTGGAACATTAGCGTTCCAAGGAGCATAGTCTGGAAGTCAAGTCCTTAGTCTTGTCACCTCCTCACCTGGCTCCAGTTCAGCACCTCACCCTCAGTCCTCCAAAACAGGATCTGATTTCTGCCCCTTGGCATCATCGATGCTTTCCTGATTGACTGTTCGCTTCTGTCTCAGCCAGCCTGGCCTACTGTCTCCTGTTCTCACTGGTTTTGACCTTCAGTGCCTTCCAGGATGCTGTGCAAGGCCTGCCTTCTCTGTAATGCCTTCTTTGACTGCTCTGTTATCTAAGT